AAATTCTTGCATTGTGTTCGCTGTTATTGTACCTTGGCTGATTCCAGATTAACGCATTTTAGGCACTACAAACATTAAACCAGAGGCCCGAATCTTTAGATTACTCAAGGAACTCCCCCATCATTTGAGAGAGTGTCACATTCAGGGGACAAATCCAGAATACCAAGTTCCAGCAGTGGAGAGCAAGACAGGAAACAGGCGACAGGCTGGGAAAAGTATATCATGCCAATCTACAGCTGGAGAAAGGTTCTATACTTCATTAGCAGGGCTCTTTCCATCATGGCATTTCTCTGAGTGGCATATTTCTTGGCTGTGATCTTGTGCTCCCACAGACAGTATCAGATGCAACTGGTCAGTAGATCCCAGATCAAGCCAGACAAATGTGTAAAGCTCTTGGAGTTACAACTAGGTGAGATAGAAACCCACCAGGATGCAGAAAACAGTTGGGAGATTCTCTCTGTCAATGCATGCATGCAGCAAGTGTGAATGTGCAGGCTGCTGAACACCCACCTGTCCTTTGAGGTCGTCGCTTAAAGAAGCATTGATTGCAAAACTTGCTCACACAAATAGGAGATCTGCCACAGTTAAGTATGTGGATGGTATGAAGAAGACACCTACATATTAAAACATTCCATGGAAAAAATCATGGGCCAGATTTTTTGGGATAATCCAGACTGCTAGCATGACCTAGTCAGTATAGCAAAGTCAGATGCTAAAGGTAAAATTTATCTGAATGTAGACATCCATAATGTAAATGTATATAGCTGAGATGGTCATGACTACTGCTATATATGTCCATACAGAAAAAAAGACATCATCTAATCTACTTTGAGGATGAAATTAATTATGTCTCAGACTCTACTTATTAGCTATTCAGAGCTATAAAATGAGCAAGGTGACTCGTTCATTTGAAGTGTAGATGCATTTGCAGGCATCAACATTTAATGAGATGAATCCCATGCTAAGTGTACATGACCCAGGAAACTGTCATTCAACATCTGAGTAGCTCCTGTGCCATTTTTTCCTAGCCCCAGGGTTGGGAACAGGTCAACAGAGTCTGGATGGGAAAAAATAAAAAGAAGGAAGGTGAATGTGGATCAGCAGTGAGCTTCATCAATTCTTATCAGGCAAAAAGTCCCTTGAGAATTGCTGACAGCTAGAAGAGGGTTCAATATGAACTGAGGCATCTCTACATTAGAACAGGAACAAAAACTCAAACAAGGGAGACTGGAAACACTGATGTAAGAAATAGCCTGGCTCCACTGCCTGGGGAAGTTGAGTATGAAGTAATCATTCCCCTCTCCCTTCTTTTTTGCCTTTGGCTTTCATTATTTCACATTATCACTTTAATTTCATTTGCAGAGTAAAAGAGTCAGATTCTGGGTTGTGCCGAGATTTCATTTTCTTCAGATTCTCTTTTTCATTCAGGCTGTAGGTGATGGGTGAACGGGGATGGACAAACAGGGTCAGCACATGCTGCTTGTTTCTGCTTATATAAAGGCTCCTGAACAATTTAAAGCATTTAAGAGGAAGAAGCCACCGTAAAACCCATGGAAAAAAATGAACAGAAAATCTCAAGGCAATCATTATCTCTGAAGCATTATAGGAATTACACAGCAGCAGAAGGAGGGAAAACAGTATTGTGAAGAATAAAATAGTAATGAGCATAACATCTGGGCATGAGAAATAGAGGGGGAGGGAAAGGGGGAAACTTTAGAGCACTCACAAGCCAGAGCTGGATGCTTTCCATAATATAGTGCCAGCCTTGCTCTTCAAGACCTGTGGTTGCAGTTGCAGCATCAACATTGTGCTTGTGTTGGACATCACCCAGAGGAGCTCAGGGTAGCCATTTAGTTTATGTCTGTGTTCACAGACGCTGAACACAGCAAGGGGGCAAAGCAAAGGCAGGACAGTAGAATTATTGCAAAATATAGGAACCCATAAGATGTTCTTTCTCTTTTGACTTCAAAGTGCATTGCCTTCCATGCAACACTTTCAAGCAGGAGAAATATCAGTGCAGAAGACAAGGTCTCTAAGCAGGAGCAGAGAAACTATTATTACTGTTATTATTTTCTGCACCTTGTGGGTACCTTGGAGTAGCATTAATGATCTGTAACATTATCGTTCTACATACTGTAGAAATACAGGTCATAAAGTCTGTTCATGTCCCAGATTCAAATTTTACACTTGATCATTTGACTTCTTGTCAAATGCAACAGAATGTGGAGCTATCCTGCTTACAGAGGTTACCGTTGTTCAGATGATTTGGAGGAATTTTTTAAGTCACAGCTACTAGAACTTGTGCCAGAGCCTCTACAGGCTCTAACAATCCACAGTCCCATTTTATACCCTGCAGCTCCTCTGAGGAGAAATAAACCCTCAGAAAATGCATATACTGAATTGTTCTATGGAAATCTGCATGCAGAAGTAGTTAAAAAGGGGAAGAGGTAGTTTTATGCTTTACCTTGCTCTTGAATAAACAGAAGTTTACTCAGCAGCTAGGAAGGATTTCTTCCTTCTTTCAACTGTTTCTGACAAGCAAGGGAGTTATTTCCTATGTTTCTCTTTCTTTGAAGGAAAACAAGGTAATAACATATTTCTTTCTCCACTACCTGCCGTCATTAGTAAATCTTACTGTTGTAGATAAATAACAAAGTAGAAATGCTGGGCAATTTTCACTTCTCCCAAATGAAAAATAGGTTGTCTGCAGCAGGTGAAAAGTGGTAGGAATAAACACACTGCAAACATAGCTCTTTGACTTTATGGGCAGTTACTACTTCTTCAGGGAGTTTTGTAATAAAACTTTTCCAATAAATGCTTGGTAACTTAACCCAAAAGCCAAGTTCATTTGTGCTGAATACTGCTCCATTCCAGTAATGGACCAGGGGCAAAAGTGGTTTTGGAGAAAACAGATACTTGTGGTATTTTCCCAAATTCTACAGCCTGAATTCTGTGGAGTATCCCCTGTTTGTACACTTCTTGTTAGCAGGCAGCAATAAAGTGTCATTCAAAACAGGGTAAGTGGCATCTCAATGACATTGAGCAAGCAGTAAGAAGGTGGTAGAGCTCTATTGATGTCCCATCCTTGACCTATGGAGATAAGGCTATATGGGAAGGAATGTGGAAGGATCTGGCTTGAAAGAAGTATTATGTAATGAAAAGTGAGTCAGGAAGGTCAGGACTTGATGGGGACAATGTAGAATGCTATAGCCCGAGAGGTGAAATATATCTAAAACATGTTTACAGTAATTTGAAAAATGTAGAGGACCCATGGAATGAAATGGCTTACAAACAAGAAATATGTCAGAATACTTCACTGGAAAATAAATGTCTTTGAGGGAATGGGACTTCTTTACCCAAAGCCATGTAAACTATGGAACTTGTTGCTGCAGGATGCGGTGAACAACTAAGAGATGCAGTGGAGCCTGGTGAGCCTGGGGAAAGCTTTACAGTGATTCAATAAAAAAATATCAGGGTAACAGAATAAAGAGCAGCTGGGTTCTGCTGCTGAGCTAGTGCTTGAAAGGACTCCGTCTCTTCCTGCCTGAGTGGGTGATACATTTTAATCACATTGAGATGCAAAAGCCTTTCCCATGGCTCTGGACCTCCTGTATCTCTGAGCTGTGCTCTTTGAGTTTGGAGAGGAGGGGAGGAGGAGTTCAGTCTGAAGAGTTATTCCAGGGTTATTCTGGATTTCAGGGATAAAGAACTAAGTAGCTGGTGAAATGTTCTCTTTTGACCTGGGAAAATGTATGAATTCCTGAATCCAAACAATAGCCATTGCATTATCATAAGAAATAGGGCTCATGGTCAGCTTCTGACATCATTCTAGGAGCAGGGGAGAAGAAACCGGTTTTTTCCCTTTTGTCCTTGCTTATACCACTTCCAGACCAGGGAAGAACTGGGAAGCTTTTCTGCAAAGCACAAAGTGGTCTCAGAAACACGACCCTAGGGCAGAAATGAACTGCCTGAAGTACATGCTTTCCTCAGTTCCACCAAACACACAGCTCATTTGCCCAAAGCTAGAAAGCAGAACAAAAATGAGCTTAGGTATGAGACAAACAGCAGGACTCTGATGCAAATACTCCTAGCAGCTAAAACGCAGGAATGGCTTGCTTCAGAGGATGCTCTGGTAATCTAGAGATGTGCATCCTGCCCTCCCTTGCTTCTGGGCTAATATATGTGACGAGGAAAAGGGGAGAGAAATCTCCTGTCTCTGTCTTTTGTCACACAAACAGTGTGTTTTATCTGCTTTTGTCTGCAGTTTTACCTGTTCTAGTCACAGCAGAAGCAATTTGGACAGGACTCAGAAAATAGACCCTGATTTCCAATTAGTTGCTTTGTCTTTCTTTGCTCCTCTCTCTTTGGTGCTGGCCATAGACAGCTCCTGCTGCAGTCCATGAGAAATGAGACAGGATATTAAACTATTAATTTCTTCTTTGCTTGCTGCCTCAGTTTCTTGTCTCAGCAATAGCACAAGTATTCTTTATCAAGATTACTGTCATCATAATGATAATTCTAGTAAAGGTCTTCAGATGGTGTGAGAAAGAGGCACAAATTATTACTGAACTGATGAGGGGGAATGAGCTGTTACAGATCCGACCAGTGATGCACTCAACCTTATGTCCAGTCCCCACCTGCATTGGCAGAAGAAATAAACACTAACAAGGACTTTCCAGACACACCGTTTCTTTTTTCTTTTCTTTCTTTTTTTTTTTTTTTCTTTTTGGATTATTTTTGTAGGTATATGTCACTGCATCACCTAAAGTGGAGAAGCAAACTCCTGACCTCTGACAATAATCAGCAAATGTTCTGGTGCATCCCTAATGATCGACTCTTTTGTCCTTTTAATGTTTCTCTAAGCCCATTCAGCTGCAGTAACCGCACCTCTTACTGTAAGATGTTTGCACTGACATTGCTGGAAACCCCTACAGACATGACACGAAAGGTTTAGAAACCACCAGTTCAATGTACATGATCTACCCCAAGCTGAAACTCACCTGGAGAAGAGTCATTGAGAGGGTTCAGGGCAGCTGCCCTCCTTATCTTCTCCAGACAAGTCTCCTGCTCTTTTTTGATGATGCAGTTCGAATGGGTTGCTGTAACCTGAAATGCAGGGAAAAAATGAGGTGAAAGAACAGTTACAAGCTTAAAATAGCTAGAAAGTTTATGAGGAAATGTCAGTAAGTTTTAATGTCCCATTCAAAAACAAAAAAAAATAAATAAAAACATCCTTAGAAGATGAAAGGAAACTACAATAAATTAGTTTAATTAGTTTTTTTTCTTTTCTTTTTCTAGTCTTTATTTTTTCCTTTCTTTTTCTGTTATTTTTTTTCCAGAAAGCTAAAGGCCACTCTATAGAATTATAGTGCTCATAAATTGAGGCTTCTATGTTGTTTTCCCTTTTAAAGTGTAATTTCTAATGTGTTTGCTTTATTTTATTGTATTCCTTCCTCATGTAAGGCTGAAGCAAAGGTACCTCTAAACAGAGAAATAATTGAAAGAGGAATTAGAAATCAACTGAGGCTCAGTTTGATCTTGCACCAGTTTCTTATGAGTCTTGCACAATCCATTAACCTCATTCAAGACTCAAAATCAAACGAAAAGCTCTTTCTCTCAGTCTTTCACCCTGTCCATTGCTTAATGTTTCTTTCTTCCTTTATTCCCAGTGAATACAAGGCAACTTGCTTGCCAAAAGAGAATGCAATGCCAATTAAACTGAGCTGACTTGATCCAAATCTTTTCTTTTTTTCTTTTCTTTTTTCTTTTTCTTTTGCTATCTTTAAGGATGCAAGGCAGCCAGCTAGAAGGAAAAAAGTGGGGATTAAAAAAAAAAAAGTTCAATGAGTCTGTAACAGAAACATTGCAGCCAACAGAATTCAGGCAATCCCAAAGCAGCAACAAAATAAGAACGAGACCCATTCCCAGAAAGCAATATGAGGTTTTATTCCTTGTGCAGAAAGCGGCCAGAGGATATCAATTCAAAGGCAATGCAGTCCTGGGTTTTATTAGACCATTTTATACGGGCACTGCTAAGGTTCAAACTACACTCAGAGGAAAGCATCATGAAAATCAGTGCACTGACTGAAGATTGGATAGGTGACCCTGGTTCACTGCAATCAATTTTGCTGTTTTGTATTTCCCATCCCATCATCTCCTTCACTCCTGACGATGGAGAACTACAGAGGAAGTAGAGTGCGCCTGCCAAGTGATCTGTTTTCCTTTCCCTGCGAAGTAGGAACAAGCAAACAGGGCAAACAATACTTGAATTCAATCTACTTCAGTTTATTTTGGAATCCCATCTGTATGGTTCAACTTTCCTTCCCTCACATCCCAACAGAGGGAATGGAATGAACTTTTTGGGTCACTAATGCATCAAACTGCCACCACACACTCGATACAAACTGACAGTAAATACCAAGGCACGCATAATCCTGGTTTGGTGGTGCTAGTGTTCTGCTTCTGCGTATGCTAGAAGGCGTGGAGCCATTTGTGCACATTTGACGTTGGAGCAGTTACCAGTCACCACTCCTACTTCAGACAGAGAGGGTTTCCTAATGCACCTGTTCTGGAAAGCTATATTCACTATTTGTTGGAACTGATAGTGTTACACAGTTTGATCTCGAAGATCCTAGTAATAAATTTCAGCTATTTTCCCCATGGGATACACCAGGCACAACCGTGTTAGATTTGTTTATCTTCAAAACAAACACTGTTGTATTCTAAGGGCTCCCAGAGGCCTGGAAAATATATATTCTCACAGATCTCTGGGATCTCCCAAGAACATAAGGGCTTTTGCTGCATCATGTCCTAAACCTCGTCAAAGATTGGGAAAATTGCATTGGCTGACATTCAGGTTCTTAGAATATCTTTTAAAAGGATAAAAGAGAAATAGCAAGTAAATCAGGCTTCTGCTGCTGGTACTGGTTCACTCTCCACAGTTGCACAGGTCTTAAAGGAGTGTGCAGGGGTTGTCTCAGTACCCAAACACGGCAGTTTCTGTACTGAACAGTATGTGCAAATTAGAGAAGCCATCATTTGTTAATAATAATTACAATAGATATTGCCTGTGTAAGTAGGATATAAATAAACAAAAGGAAATGTTTCTTCACACACTTATTGCTAACCCGCAGAACTCTTTTCAGCTCGATATGTGGATGTTAAATGTTATAGGAGTTCAAAACGTGTACATATATGTATACGTGTATGTATATATGCAAAATCCATCAAAGGATCCCAAACACTAAGAAACCCACCATGCCCAACTTCTGGTGTCCTATGAGGTAACTCTAGACCTTTGAGAAGAAGGTTTAGATTCAGTCTATAATGAAAGAATGAAAAAGTGTGATTTATCCTTAATATTTTGGTTGTTTTCCTTAGTAAAAGGTAAATCAAAGCCAGGACTTGGCTGATTATAAAGAAAGTCTAAGATTAAAAGCTGAGATTTTATACTTTTCCTTGCAGACAGGCTCATATAGTCAGATGTATCTGACTAAACTGACTAGGTTTCATCAGTTGTATCTGACTAAGTCTGGCTCAGGATGTATTTGAAATGCAGACTGCTAGGCCCAAAGCGAGCACTAGAGTGATGTGTTTCACCTGTCCCTGTAGCTTTCCTTAAGCTTTCACTGTTGGCAGGATATTTTGAGGTTACTTACTATAAGTATCTTCATACCATTATGCAGCACTCTTCATCAACAAGACTTAAAAAAAAAAAATTTAAGGAACATGGAAACTGAGGCAGAAAATAAAGAAAGAGAGGGAACATTCACCTCATTGCCAGAGGAGAGAATAGAACTGACTGTCATCTTCACTAATTAGTAATGTGCTACCTGAGAAAACAAAACCAGATTTGGATTCTTTATAACAAGAAGTTTTTCTGTTGAATGAGGAGATGCACGAATATTATCATGTTTTCCTGAAAACATCCATGTCTTTCATGTTTCTCCATTAATTATGTAATGGTAGAGACTTTAATCTGTCAAGTCAGTCTTCAACAGCTGAACGGCAGACAACAATTTTAAATGGAAGTGTAAGCTTGAACTTTGTGGCCTCCTGGTTTCATTTCTTTTGCCTGAAGCACATTTGCAATTTCCTGAGTTCAGGAGAGACAGTCTGGTTTCAGTTTCCCAGAAGATACCAGTGATATGTGCAGTTAAAGAATACTTTGGCACATACTAGAGAAATCATGAAACCAAGTTGATAGTGTATGAAATTAATTTGTTTTTTAAAAAATTATTACTTTCAATGGAATGAAGGAGTTAGACTTACATCAATTTTGAAAATGTATATATTTGTCTAGGTACAAGTACAGTAGATATAATCAATGCCTGTTTAGTGCTGAAACACAAAAAGACAAAACCAGCTAGCTAAGACACTATAGATGTCCAACAAATTGAGATGTATCATTATTATTCCTTTATTTTTATTAAGGTGGCCACCACAGAGAGAAACCAGCATGTGCTGTGTGTAACTTGCTTTACTTAACTCTTTGTTGTTCCCTTGACATAATGGTAATATTAATAACAACCATGTCATTTTATTACAACCTACATATATTCTCTCACACACACTCTCAAGGTATTGCTTTATTGTGAACTGTTCCCTTAAGCAAGCCATTGTCAGTACATAAACCTGAGAAGAAACCCAGGTGAAGACATCTGTGCTGCTTCTGGACCTGCCCTAGACATATGAGTAGATCAGATTAGCAAATTTTAGCGTCGTGTTTTACATACGGATGCTCCAGGGAAGGAACAACGTGGGAGGAATTGCGCAGATGAGAAGGGCATCATACACTTCCTTACTCGTGGAAATAAAGTTTAAAAAGCTCTCTTTCTTCTTGTTTTGGTTCAAATATATCAAGCACTGACTTCAAGTACATCAAGCCTTTCTACACCGGAAAGGCCACAAGTCAAATAGCTTGATTTGGTGCATAAATATCTACACAGCACAGTAATAGCTCTGCACCTCTTCCCAGCACGTAGCACAGACTGTTCCTCATATTAAGCATGGGGTGGTACAAGTCACTGACATTGTGCCTTGGACTCTCATGTCCAATGAATCAGCAAACAGGGAGAGAATAGTCCTGATAATGCATCCAAGGAGCACAAAGCAAGGCTGTGAGTAAGCAGCTGAGAGAGGAGGACTCGAATGCATTAACAAGATGCTTCCCAACTACTTCTACTAAGGAACAAGGCATATAAACTTAAACTGAACACCATGCTTAGGTAACTCTCCTGACTTACGTTCTGTGTATATGACACTAATAGCTGTCCTGACTTATGTGCTCGGTAGAAGACACTAACATAGAGCTATACCCAAAGTGGGCAGGTCAGAAGTCTGATTACAGATGTCAAGACCATTTGATGTGCCTTAGTGTATCTCATTTGACCTCCATTTGCTGCTGCCTACTTGGGCCTTTATGTTTGCCCTTTGTCAGGATATTTTGGACACTGTAGGGTTATTTCTAAGGACAAAAGACCTTTATGCTTTGGCACTTGAATAATTTCCTCAGTTATATCAAGTGGATAAAGGTCTTCTCAGAGGAAAACCAGCACATTCACTATGATGGGACATTATCCTTGTGCCACATTCATCGTCACTGATAAAGACTTGTAGATAGGAGATGTGGTTGGGAGGCTAGAAGGATTTGGAAATTTTTAACACATGAAAGCTGGGTGTGGAAAGAGGTCTCAATGTTATCCAAACTAATCATCCTGTAAGCCAGCAATGCAGAATGGTCTAGCCAAGAAACCTGAACTGCCTTTGACTACATACAGTTATTTAGAAAACACTGTTCTGCTCATTATACTCTCTGTAAGGATATTCACAAGTGCTTTAAAACATTATTTCAACTACACAAGTTCACTGAATGGATCTACACAAGTGAGAAAAGTCACCTGTGTTCTTGAGAAACTCCAGGATCAGAAAACATGTTTTGAAGTCATGGTAAAGATGTGATAGTGAACTGTGCAATTTGCTTGACATTTTCATTTCTAAGAAGACACGATCATGTGTAGCAATTCAGTGCCATTATCTGTTCTTTCCTCTTCTGCATCTCTGTGTTATGCCCGTAAACTCCTGATTCTTTTTTGCAAAGTGAATGAGAATATTTCCACTCTATTCAGGATATGTCATATCAGGCACGATGGTGATAAG